TTCTGTTTGGAGTTGAGCACTTTTAGTCAGGGGTCGCTGTATTTCCCTACGGTTCATCAAGTTGCTGGTGGTGTCCCTTTCAATCGCCACTTTTGGAGGGAAAAAACAAAACACTTTCGATGCGATCCGGATCGCAAAAAGCGGAGTTCGAGGATGCTGCGTCTCAGATCCTGGACTTTCGCCTGGGGATGCCACCCGTATCAAGGGCTTTACTCATCCTCCGCTTACGGAAGATCAACCCATGCCCCTTCAAACATCACGAGACAGAAGCTCGCTGAACATCGGCAAGCAAGATCCACCTCCAAAATGGCACTCAACAGCCAGTACGGGCCCAAGCACGTACTGGGCCAAACCACGCCCCAGAAAAAAAAGAAGTAAACATAGTGGGTACTTGATGCCAGGGGCCCCAGCCAGCGCTGCTTTGGCGGACTGTCCCATTTCACAGTGGCAGAAAAAACACCGCCATGCATGGCCCAAGCTGGCCGCGGGGCAAACAAGCATATTGGGTGAAACTTGGTTTCCTCAGGAGTATCTTTTGGAGGACTTCCTTGCGGGTTCCCTCAATGGCAATTACCTCAGCTTGCTCCCCGATACAAAAAACGTGAGAATAACTGCTCAACTTTAGCAGACCTTGAAAGAAAACTGATATATATATATATATAGATATATATTAAATATCAGATCCCGCTTAAGCATGGCAATCCCAAAAAACGGGGAAGTTGGCGACCCGCGAGCGCTTCGAAGTATTAATTTTCCCGCGCCAGGCAGAGGCCCGTTTCGCGAAGTCCGCTCATTCTCGAGCACCTGGCAAAAGGGCCCCGAAGCTAAGACGCGGGCGCCGAGTTTCTGTGCTTCTCAAAATGGTGGCCCATGTTTTGGCAGGTTGACCCCCAAAACATGAAAATTTCATGTTGGTTTCCCTTTGAAACCACTACAAAAGGGGTGCTTTTCAAGGGCATGCCCAGATGGTGGACCCCTTTTGGCTGGTATGATATAAAGGGATGCAACAACACCAATAAACGAGAACCAATGTAGGGGACCACTTCCCACATCTAGACAGTCCTTCTTTAGGAAAGAAAACAAGTTTACCCATCTGTAATCTGAGGGAACACCTGAGAAGACCATTTTGAAAGACTTGAAGACGATGTTCTTCCTACAGGAGCCTTCTGGTGTGTTTCACGTTAGTGGGTGGAAGGGTGGACCTGGTAGGACTTATGCCCATGGCAGAAGTCGTTATCCTGCCAAAACCTCACAACTATGTTTGGTAGCCGGCGTCCAGAACAAGGATGCAAGAGAACACATCATGAGCAAAGGGCGGCAACTGATTTAGGTGATTGACCACGTGGCCCTGGGTAGTCCCAAAACGGGATCAGAATATCAAAAGGTGACAGACACGATATTGCAGAAAGAACCAGTTCTATGATACATGTTCTATGATGAGTCTCATTGAGCCGCTTTCAGGTACCGGTGGGACACCTACCTCCAATCTGAAGCAGACCGAGGGACCACCGCGCAACAAAGCGACACACGGGGCTGGTGTCGCTGGCCAATGGTTGACAAGGAAGCCACGAAAGATAGAAGACCACACAGATCCATTGCCTGAGCATGGCAAGGGCCATGGAACTCAGAGGGGAGCCAATAAGTGCAAGTCTTGGAGGCCTCACACGCCATGCAGGGACGAGTCCCGCATGAGTCCAGGCCACTTGCCAACACAACTGCAACCGTTCGAAAGCCGAGAGGGTCGTCCAGTGAGCTTGCTAGTGATTCAGTTGTACAAAGGCCCTGCAATTCAAAGGTGATCACCTTTTGGTACCTTTCCTAAAGGAACCAGAAGGGAAAACCAAAGGGACCAAGGGAAAACCAAAAAGGGAACCAAGGGAAAGCCTGTTGGTGCTTTCGGACCAAGGGAAAACCCAAAAGATGAAAAGGTCAAATTGGCCTCGAGAGGCGTGAGCTCCAGGTTCATAAGCCAAGGCAGGACATCGCCCGGGCCGTTTCGCGGAAGCGAAACGGGTTTGTGTGGAGAAAAGATGGGTGTGGGTCAAACATAGGTACCCTAGATGGAACCCTGGTAAATTGAAACAATGACTAAAGCCTGCGGTCCCCTGGTGGTTTAATTTTGACCCACGCCCATATAAGTATGGCTCAAGCTTAAACAGCTGGCTGGTTTTTGTTTTTGTTTCCAGATACCGAGGCGCCATGTTGGGAACCATTCTTTCAGCCACAGCCATGTTGCACCAGTTGGTATGGTCAAGGGGCCAAGGGGGCTTGCACAGCGCCTCACGCATTCCAATGCCGGCCCAGCAAGGCCTGATGAGAACTGTGGGAGCCGCCTCTAGGGTTTCGTCTGGAGCCGCGGTGTTTGTTATGAAGCCAATCAATTTTACTTGGCCGCCAATGGAAGTTCCTTTATTTGCCGCGCAGGGTTCCACTTCTTCGGGCTGCCCCAAAGAGGACAGCAAAACCCAGGAATTCTCCTGGGGAACCACCAAACGAATTTCAGTCTACCTTGGGGTAACCCAAAAGTAGAACCCTGGCCGCAGGTCCCTCCCCCGCACGGATGCCCTTGCCTCAATGCCGCATGCCCACGGGAAGCCTCCGGAGCCGAGTGGGGCACCCCAAATGAAATGCGCCGAGGGGGCGGCGGCCACACCCCAAGAGGTAGCCTCAAGCAACTGAAACTCACCAAGCTCCACTGGAATTTCCTGAAGATTTATCAGCAAACCAGGCAGCTGTCCTGGCAGCGATCATCCCACAAGCCAAATGCTCAGGCACAAGCAATCCCCAGGTCTGCTGGGAGGGGGGGAGGACCGCTTGTGCTCAAAACCCATGCGGGTGGCCAGGTCCACTTGGGCGCCCACTTGACTTGATGCCTCAACCTTGCAAATTCTCAGAGAATGCCAGATGGTCGGAATAAACCGCTTGGGCCATTTCTCTGAAGCATGGTTGGTCTCAGGGCTTCGGCTCATTCCCAACGAACAAGCTACGCCAGAGTGAAAGGAGGTTGGGTAAGCAAAGATGACAAACCGGAAATCTGGAGCTTGTGACATCCACTTTGACCCAACCAGGGCTCCTTTGGAGGGGGGTGTCCCAAAACAGTGTTCAACTTCCGCTTGGTTCCCTTTAAGCCAAGAAGGGCACCCTCCGAAGGCCCCAGAGGCGGAGGCCGCCAAGCCCCCCCCGAGGCCCCGAGGCCCAGGCCGCGCCACGTTGGCGGCGAGAGTGCGGCGCTCCGCAGTGGCAGGGCCCCGAAAGGGCCACACCAGGTGCTGCACCTTCCGCCCATCCAGCACAAAAAGGTCATAGACTGCAAGCACAGGCAAAAACATCTACGGGAAATCCGTTTTTTGTTTTTTTTTTGGGGGGGGGGTGGGTAGTTCGCCAATCTTCCGTGGAATTTCCGGTGGCTGGTTTCTTTGAAAGAGAGTGGCCTTTCAGGGTTAATACCTTTTGGGGCCATGACGAAATTCCGATGGGGAACTTCCAGATCCGAGCTGTGGTTTCCGTTTGGGACAGGAATAGCTCATGGGCTGCTTAGCAGCCAGATTCAGTGGCCATGGGAGATGCATCACGTAAGCGCTGCGGGAAATGGTGTCCCTACCATAGAAGCCCAAGCTACAGAATGCCGCAAAAGGCATTTGAAGCAAAGGTTGCGCTTGCGTTAATGATACCTTCCTTGGGTATACTTAACTATATACCGGGTATACCAGGCGTACCGTTGACTTAAAGAAAAGCACATGGATACTACCTGACAAGGGGTCGACATGGCCCCTTCCGCACCATCATCATCTAACAGGTGCCCTCTCAGTGTCCTCCTGTTTGCTGAGGGAAGTGCGAACATCACAGAAAGAACAGTGGAGTTCAGCCCCTGTGGATCTCTTCGGACCAAGGCCGGCGCCCATTGCGGGAAGACGTGAAGGTACCCTTCCTGCGCATGATTTAATCTGATTCCGCGAACAGCAACCCAAGGGCACGTTACTCTTGCGATGGGAAAACAAGGTCCAAAGGGGCACAAACACGTGGCAACGCAAAAATGTTCCTAAGCCATCATTCGTGATGCAGCCATTCTGTTTGCCTCTTGTTTTTGTTGGGTGGGGGTGGGGGGCTTAGGCCTCAGGTTATGCAAACCTTTCCAAGGTCCGAGCACTGCCTCCGGGGGGCCTGGGGTCGGGTTCCATAGGAGGGTAAAGGTCGAAGAGGTTGTTCATGGGAACCCCGGACTAATCCAGCCCATCTTAGTAATGAGGGGTGTCACCGGGCTTGTTTGAGGGTTGTGTAATGGAAACCAAAATCTAAGTATAACCCCTGGTTGATTAATGGGGGTTGTCCCCCGGTTTAGTGGGGGTTCAGCACCTTTGAAGGGGGCCCCAACCCCCTCTAAACAAGACGAGTTTACTTTTTGGCCGGAGTCAACATGGATCACACCAAGCCTGCGGGGTCAGTGAGCACCTGTGCACCATGTCTAGCACGAAACTGCGCAATCCAACGGCCCGGAAGACCCAAGCGCTTGGAGCCACAAATGCAAAAGGGACCACCCCAAGAAAAACACCCTCATCAGGGGAAAGGAGGTCGCAAACTTAAATCCTTCGTGAGGCGCGTTAACTTGCGCAGAACTTAAACAACACGGGCATGAGTTTTGCTTAGGGCTTAGGCACGAAATGATTTACCTGGGCATGTATGCAACCACAAATCATGAAGGATATTCCAGTTGAGATTCACAGCCCCTAACCCAAAGGCTGTGAGATCTGGGAAAATCACTACGACACCCAAACTTACAGATAGTGAAGCCCCCAGTCAAGGACCTTGGGTAACACCTTTTCGCCGATTGGCGAGCTCGTCATTGCCCAAGTCTTCTAAGAAACCAGTGCCACGCGATGAGGAACAATGTTGGTAACTGATTTTGAAGGGACACCCCCATTTTTCTATGTTTTGTTTTCCCGTATGTACTGTAAAATGTTTCTTTCAGCCTTTTCCTGCTCGGATGCACTGAAACAGATCGCCTGCATCTCCACACTCAGCACCTAAGTCGACAGATCGTCCGGGAGAGGCGAAAGAGACTCTCAATTCATGAGGAAGAACCCACTTGGCTGCGTCGACTGCAATAAAAATCACAAATCTAAGCTTTAAAAAATACTAGGAAAGGAAGCTTCATCGTGGGGAAGCTTGTTTCACCACGATCGGTGAGCTTTCTAAAAGTAGTGCGTTGAGGGTGATTCCAATCAGAAAGGTCAAGACTTCGGAGCATGTCCATCCTGCTTGTTTTTTCCAGTGACGTAACCGATTGCATCGAGCCACCGCTGTGGCCTAACAACCACCAATCTTCTACCCGAAGCAACCTCACACACAGTTTGAATGCTTGGATTTTCCGGGCTTTAAGTGTGGGCAAAACTGCGTATCTTGTCCGGCTGATTCGTTCCAGGTTCTAAGTTCAAAAAGTTGGGCTTGGGACTGGGTTTAGGCTGCTTCCTCAGTCCACCTCCTGAGTGGACTGTCCCGGGCAAGTTGAAACTTTTCGCTGTACCGGGGGGCGACTTTTCATCTAGTATTGCCCGGTCTTGGTCCATTCCTAGGCCTTTTTAGGTGAGTTCCTGTTTCTTGTTTGTATTTAGTTTTGAGTTTAGTTTTTATTTAGATGGGGTTTAGTCCTTTACAAAAAATGGGCTTCAGTTTCTACGTTTCCAAAAGGTCACCTATGGTCAAGCGCGTTCCTTTTCAACCGGGCGCCCACGCCCCGGGGCACTCCAGGCGTCCGCGGGCCGCCGGGGAATCGGTTTTCCAAATGAAGCTGGTGCCACCATCCTGGGGCAAATGGTGGGCCAATGAAAAACGGGACCCAGTTTTGCATGCACTGAGCTCTTGAGTTCACCAACTAAGCAAACGGCATCCCCACAAAGGAGTTACATCAGGGTTCACTTCGCTCCCCCAGTTCCAGTTGAAAGTGGGCTGAGGGAATGCGGGTTTGAACGTCAGGGGGCAAGACATTGAGGTCCAACCGGCTTCGACTTGAGAAGCGCACTAGCCCCATCAGGTGCACCTTCCATCGCTGCAAATGCAAAATGGCATGCAACCCATTTCTGTGACATGCAAAGTTAAACAGAGCAAGAAAGGAAAAACAGAAAGAAAGAATGAACAGAAAGGAGGAAGGAAGGAAGGAAGGAAGGAAGGAAGGAAGGAAGGAAGGAAGGAAGGAAGGAAGGAAGGAAGGAAGGAAGGAAGGAAGGAAGGAAAGAAGGAAAGAAGGAAAGAAGGAAAGACGGAAAGAAAGAAAGAAAGAAAGAATGAAAGAAAACAAACGGAGGAAACACAACCAACACAGCAATGTACTCACATATGTATATAGATATAGATACACCAAACAACAGTAGAAAACAGTGAAAAAATGCAAACAACAACAAACACTCGAAAACAACAATTAACCAGTTGTTAGTTGTTGTTTTTTTTAAGCAAGCAAGCAAGCAAGCAAGCAAGCAAGAAAAGCAAGCAAGCAAGCAAGCAAGCAAGCAAGCAAGCAAGCAAGCAAGCAACCAAGCAAGCAAGCAAACAAACAAACAAACACACAAACAAACACACAACGAAACAAACAAACACACAACACACAAACACACAAACAAACAAACAAACAAACAAACAAACAAACAAACAAACAAACAAACAAACAAACAAACAAACAAACAAACAAACAAACAAACAAACAAACACGCACACCAACCACTCAAGCAATCAAATGATCGAATCCAGATCATTAAACGGAGAGGATTATCACTTAAAGAATTCATAGCAGAACGTCCTCCAAAATACATTGATGATGATGATGATCGTTAAATTGATGTTAATCAATCGATGATGAATAAATCAATTAAAATTGATGATCAAATCAAATTAGTCAATCAGTCAAATCAAATCGATCAAGAATGAAATCAGATCGAGTAAGATATACGATCAAATCAGATGAATCAAATTCAGTCGATGATGATCAAAAAACGATGAAATAATCAATTAATTGATGATGATCATCAATTGATAGTCAATCAATCAATCAATCAATCGATAATGCAACAGTAAGCGAACGAAACAAACGACGAAACAGACAAGCGACGACGATGCTGCTGTATGCGCCGCCGCCGCCAGCTGAAACAAAGCCAGCCCAATCACTCACTCATTCACTCACTCACTCACTCAATCGCTCACTCAATCAAACAATTCAAACAAATCAATCCAAAAACCAACCAACCAACCAACCAACCAACCAACCAACCAACCAACCAACCAACCAACCACTCACTCACTCACTCACTCACTCACTCACTCACTCAATCAATCAATCAATCAATCAATCAATCAATCAATCAATCAATCAATCAATCAATCAATCAATCAATCAATCAATCAATCAATCAATCCAATCAATCAACCAATCCAATCAATCAATCAATCAACCAATCAATCAATCAAATCAAATCAAATCAAATCAATCAATCAATCAATCAATTAATTAATCAATCAATCCAAACCAGCAATCAACGAAGCCTTGCTAGACACGCATGCCGGTTTCGGCCTCTGATCTGCAGGCGCCCGGCGCTTGCCTGAGCATAAGATCCCCCCCGCCTCCCACCCCCAACCCCACCCCCCCCCCTTTTGGGGCACCCGAAGACACGTTGCATTTCCCTGCAAGCTTTGAACATGAGCAAAGACCTGGGCCAACCACGTGGGGATAGGGTGTAGGGTTTAACATGGGGTTTAGGGGATGCTCCCAAAAAAACGTGCGTCGTGGATGTTGAATATCAAAAGCATGGGTTCCTGTTCTGAGGAGAGGCATGCTTCAAGGGAAGCCCCATAAAGCCGAACAAAGGCTGTGGGTCTTCCAGACAAACCAAAACGAAGCCATATTGAGTCAGGTTCCCTCTCCCATTTGAAAAGACACACACCACCCTTCTCTGGCAAATAGACCCTACCAAGCAGGAAGAAACCCGGCAGAAGGAAGGAATTGCTCGCGCCTGCCCACCTGATCTGGCAGCTGCAAGTGCAGGAAGGAGGAGAAGCCGAAGTTGGACCTATCAAGAGCTACACTTCGGCAAATGGATGCACACCACAAACTATATAGTTTGTGGTAAGGAAACTCCTTTTGGAGCAAAAGCACCTTGTTATTCCTTCCGTTTCGACTTAGCAGTGGAGATGAGTCATATGCGACCCTGCAAGCAGTGAGGGAGTCTCCTTGTAGGCCCCTTTCTTGGGTTCCGTGTTCATTTCCGGTGGGAACGAGCCCCAGGCCTGATGTCTTCCCCGTGTTTCGCATTACGTGCGGCCGGCCTTATGGTCGGAATTTTTTTGGCATGGTTCTACGGATCCCTTCCCCATTTTATCGCAGCGTTGAAGATAACGCCGTGAATCAACTCTTACCCTTGTGTCCTGTGAAGGGGCCTGTATGCGGCATTGAGGAGGTTGGGGCGGAGGGAGGAGTTGGCTGTCAGTTTCGTCGACGGCTGTCTGACCCTTGGAATGCGTCTGGGTTTTTACAAAAACTGGCAACTTCCTTTGTCTGGAAGATTGCCACTCGCATAACCCTAGTAGTCCACCCTTTACCCGATATGTTGCAGGGGGAAACTGCCAGGTGCGTGGACAAGCCACCGAGCAAGCCTGGCCCCTTACTAACGGGAAAAGACGGTTCACCAATGTTTTCTCACCATGATGCAGATTTTGGGCACCAAGATGGCACCACCAGGAAGTGAAGTGGAGCCTCTTGACTGGCAGTGGGTCTACATTCGGAAAGTTGCGATCACTAAGACCCTAAGATTTGAGGCTTCGCTAAGTACCTAAATACTGGCCAACAACAGGGGTCACTGGATGTCCCCTTCAAAAGTTGCAGTTTACTGGTGGGGTCCAACAAACTCACTTTTGCAGTTCCAAAAAAGGAACTGGAGGGACCGAGGGCCCCTGAACAAAGGGTCCATTGCTTGACCCCCAAGGTAGAGTTAAACCTATGGCTGACTTCCGCCAGGAGAACCTCTGGGTTTGTCTTGGGGCGCACAAAACACGCAACTCACCAACAGGGGTTTCGAGCGCTCAAAAGCAATACAGGAACTCGTCACCAAGGCGGTGATGAGGCAAGGACCCGGCAAACAACCAATCAGTTTCCATGTTGCGCAAGTTACAGTCCCGGCTTGAAACCAACAAGCAACCAACAAAATACAGTACATATTGAGCGAATGCAAATCAGGGGGTCAAACCTTCTCATGTCCATCCCCGCCTCGCCTGTACACAATCATGACGGTCAAGTGCTAAACAAGACCAAACTTGGAGATTCGCTGTCGACAAGTGGAGGGTGGGGGGGTGTATTTTCTCAGACCTCCAGGGGTGATGGGAAAAGGGGCACCTTGTTGGGATGCTTTTGCTTCAAACAAATGAAATAGAAAACATCCTTCTAACAAAAGGTAGAGGAAATCCCGGCTTAAACCTTCCCATGTCAGAAAGCTTCCGTGACTCTTTGCTTCCCATGTCAGAAAGCTTCCGTGACTCTTTGACAGCTCAGAAACCTCCAGCCCCGTGAAATCCCACCCCTCAACCCGATCCAACCAGCGCCTGGCATTGTTGTGGAAGTGGACCTGAGCCATTTCGGGTTTGTGGGACGAGGTTTTGCCGGTTGGGAGGGACAAGAAGAGTCGCCCGTCTTTTTCGCACGCTATGGTTTTAATTGAAAACCAAATGAAAAACCAAAACCATTTTGGGGGCCCTCTTCAAACAAGACACACCCACAAACGACAACCAAGAAGGAAAACAAAGAAATCCAGCTGCGCTGTGTGTCTTCGAGCTCGAAGAGCGCGGGCACCCTACCCGTGGGGTATACCGCTGATGTGTCTTGTTGCACCACAAGCTCCTCCTCAGCCCTGGCCATGCGACAACCTTCAAAAAACACCCACCCACCCGCCCACCCACCCACCCAGCCAGCCAGCCAGCCAGCCCGCCCGCCAGCCAGCCAGCCAGCCCAGCACAGCAGGTGATAGCGAAGCCCTAGGATATATAAGCTAAGCCTGAACGAAAGAAGGACCCAGCCACCGATGGTTGGTCTCCAAGGGCAATCCAGATCCCCATGAAGGCGAGAGACCCTCGAGGTGCGGTTTAGCAACTGAACATTTAATTCTGGAAGCTCCAGCAGCGGTTCATGTGGAGGTGGCTGGCGGATAGGCAGATGGGAAGTCCGAAGATGAGGGTCCACCGCCCAAACAGTAGCCGGACCGGTTTTCCTTTGGTTTCTCTTCGAAAAAGGGTATCCTTCAAAAGCTGCCCATTTGGCAATGTGGGGGTATCAACTGGGACATGGGCTGCTCCAGGTTCATCTGCGTGGTTGTGAGTGGCGGTAGTGGTTTCCCTTGTGCCGGTGTCCCACAGATTACCCATTAGGAAACGAGATCCCCCACTTTCAAGGGCGGTTTCTCTATTTCACCAGCTGGGTTTAATCAGGATCACGTTGCGCCCAAGTAAAGCCGTATGCAACCAGAAGTGCGTCCCTCAACCAACATGGAAAACAGGATGAGACCAAAGGGAAACCCAATCGAAATGGACACAAACAATCTTTGTTTCAATGGAAACTCGTCCAAAACAAGGAACACTGCTAAGTTTGAAGGGAAAACCGTGGAACATGCGGAAGTCAGGTTGCATTCAAAGGGAAACCCATGCAACACATGACATAAAGAGGTGGGGCTCAAAGCGAAAGTCGTCCAACAAGCGGAAAGCGGCTTCAAGTTTGAAGGGACACCCATGCAATATACAGAAATCAGCTCAAGTTCAGAATTGAGATGGAGTCAGGTTGAGTCTAAGAGGGTGTGTTGAAACACATTTTCTGGACAACCGAGTTTTGGCATCAAGTGGCTTGCACTGGCCAAGTGGGGGCCCCTGCTGGGTTGTAGTCCCCCGCCATCTGGTGCACCGTCCATACCTCTCGCTGTTGGCTTTGGTCAGGGTTGAACCACCTAGGAGGTAACTTCACCATGACTGGGAAGTATCTGGACCAAGAGCTGAATCAGGTTGTGCCCAGTTGCACAAAGGGTGTTCAACCGAACCTGTCTCCTCCAAGCCCTGGAAAACATCAAAGTTCAACCTTTTGTGCAGGCCCTTGAAAACAGTCTTCCCCGCAGTGCCCCAAGACTTGCTTGCGCTCAGTAGCGAATGCCCCCAGTATTGGGACGGAAACCACGAGGGACGGCTCATGGGGCGCATTCCCTCATTCCCGGCTGAGAACCAGAGAAAAGTTGAAAGCGACCTGGAGAAGCAACACAAATTGTGAAGGTGCCATCGTGCTGCTCGTGGCCCAAAACCGAAACGCGCCGAACCGAAACGTCGCACAGTATCCAGAGCGTACTCCGTGCCAGTGTCCTCCTTGCACGGTCAATGGGAACAGCACTTGATCCGACCTCTAAGGGCCCTCCCAAAAGGGGCCTTGAGCGCAATACCCGGGACTACTAGGACATGTTCAGGCCGAAGACATCCCTGAGGGCGCTTTTGGGTGAGAAACAAGCCATCGGAACTGACAATAGCACAAATACCAGTTGTTGAGCAGGGGCCCGCTTCTCACTCGGAACTCCATTCTTCCAGAACCCGCCTGTGTCGTTCTTTTCATGCATGTTGCCTGGAGAGCTGATTCATTGAATCAGGGAATGTCCCATGGAGGCGATGCTGGCAAAACTGGGCTGTCCTCAGATCTTCTGCTCAAAGTTCAACTTTTCGTGGATTGAATGGAAACCCTCACTCAACCAACTAAAAGGGCAAAAAGCTGAGGAATCATGGGGGCTGGGGGGGAGGGAGGGGAGGGGGAGGGAGCCCAAATAAGCCCTTATTGAGCCCTTAATAAAATTTGGGGCCTTTTTGGGCTCCCTCCCCCCATGTGGTTGGCTCGGACGAGAGAAACTCAAGGAGGCAAGGCAGCAAAATGCAATGCGGAGATCTAGCACGCTGTTTGCTGCTTGAACACGAAGGGTGAAGAACATCATCCGTTTTCTGTGGTGACCCATAAGAAAAAAATGTTCGCTCAAAGCAGGGCTGATGGGCAACTCTCAACCCCTTTGGTCTTCTCTCCCAAACATGCAAGCTGCCCCAGAAACACTGGACAGATCAAAGTGAACATGTTGACAATTTCTCAACATGACTTTTTTTGACGTGATTTCCCCAAAGGCCACCATTTAGAGATGCATTTGGAAGACGCCCCTTTAACAGACCCGGGGAAAAAACAAAAAAGCACATGTGTCCTCGCCGAGGAGGGCGGCACCCAGCTCCCTGGCCTTGGCGCTGGAAAGATGCAAAGGCTGGGAAGAAGACGGCCCTAGAAATTGGGGAAGGTACTCTTGTTGGAAGGCATGTAACACTTATCTTGTTACATGCCCTAGCAAAGGTTGGGGAAGTTAGCATTGTTTAAACAAAAAAGCAACCAGACCTTGGCAGCATTACCGTATTGAGCCGAAGGCCTGTGCTAATCAGCGAATCATGTAGTAAAGTGCGCTCTTGAAAGGGAAGACACAACCTTGGAGTATGCGATGTAAAGCCAAAATAGTTAATGTGGTTGCGAGAGGCCTTAACAATCCAACCCATGATCCTACATTTAATCCTTTGGCCCCTCAAATCCCATGGGATGATGTTGAACTTGCAACATTTGTCTGGCCCAAGCTCCCGGGAAAACCTTGAAGGAAAGCCTGGATTTTTGGGTGGCAGCTTACAGGGTGTCCTCCCTTGTCCTTTTCGGAACCGGCGATCGTTTCAAGGGAAACCACCGGTAAATTGATCAACAGTCGATTCGGGGAAAGTCCAGTGACCCATGGCCTCACTTCCTGAGTGGCTTGGCCAAAACCAACTCCAAACTTTTCGGTTGCCACTAAAAAAGTTGCACCAGGTTCTGGTTGCACTTCTTGGTTGCCACTAAAACTGGTCACCAAACCCAAGTTGAACTGAGGTCCACGAGCTCTGGGAGCGAGTGGCCAGAGACCCAGCGACCCGACCCGACGGGCCAACCGATTCGCCGGGCGAAGGGGCGCAGGAGGTGAGGAGCTGCGCGAAGTCGGGGTCCGGGGACTGGATGCTGAGCTGCTGGCCCTCCTAAGCGACGCAATCCACGCACCAAGTAACACGGAGCCTGACAGGGACCGGGACCAGGTTTTTCTTTAAAAGGAAAAGGGGCCCCACCCAAACAAACACGGAACCGGTCCCTTTAAAGGGAAAATGGCCTTCCAGAACCCTCCGAACGTCAGGTTTCATGCTAATTGGTGGGAGGGTGGACGTTAGAACCCAGCTTCAAGGGCTGCAAGTTCCATTCACGCGTACTTAGGCTGAAGGTGGATGGCACAATTTCCTTTTTGGTAGGGCTTCATTTATCCCAGCTGGCGCGAAGCGGATCTTGTCACACATCTTGGGTGTCTCAGTTTCTGGGGCGAAGCCTGCCCCCGGAGTAGTTCTATCACCCAAGGGCGAGCACCAAACTGAAGTAACAGTTCCACCACAGTGGCCTTTAAAGGGGATACACATGATTCTGTACAAAAGGAAATCCTCACCCAAACCTCCAGAGACCAGGGGGAGATGATTCTGAAGATTGTCCTGGGTAACAGCCCCCCAGTAAACTGGGGTTGATTCATATGAGGTCAACATTCCTGCCCTCACATCCCCTGCAAGTTTAAATTTTAGTGGGGTCAATGCAAACTACCACTAAGCCAACTAAAAACCTAAAAACCTAAGGAATCATGGGGGCTGCGAGGCACCAAGCAGCGAATGAACCTCGCGCCATGTCTCCTTCATCTCGCCCTGCAGAAACAAGGCGTGGCTGGGTGCCCTGCGCGCCGCCTCAGTCACGGCCCGTCCTTTGTGAGCTAACACACCTCACTTCCTGAGTGGATTGGGCCAAAAACAATGTAACCGAACTTCTTATATACCACTAAAACGATCTTCCCAGAAAGTTTGAAGTCTGAGAACACAGGAAGTGAGACGCTTTTGGGGCAGACATCCGTCCAACATTCCAAAGGCGCTTGGCCCGAGGGAGCGAAGTTGGGCTAAGCCCCGTTGCATGCTCATCTCGGGACCCGGCCTGGAATCGAGTACACCTTTTGTATGAGCTGCGCAACATAGAGTGGCCCATCCTCCATGGAACACCCCCAGAAGCCCAGTGTAGAATGGTTCCTCAAAGGAAAGCTGGACGTCAAACCAAACTATCCGAAGCAAGTTTGTGATTGAATGGATTGGAGGAATCCACTGAACAACCGTTCCGTTCGATAGAAACCACTTTGAAAACCGCAGGCCCTCTCTCTTCCGAAATTACCTTTGGAGAACATGCAATTTTGAGCATGTAGGGTATCCTCCGAAGATAAAAGGTGCAAACAAGGAATATCTCTGGAACCTTCTTTTTAAAGGAAACAATTTACAGGGGTATTCACCTGGTCGGCTTCGTTTCTAAGGCTCGCCTTCGTTTTATATAGGGTTGTAGCCCTGTTCCACCCGACATGTGCTGGAGGCGGCGTAATTGGGGAATCCCTCATGTCATTTGCTGATTGCTTCTCTCTCTCTCTCTCTCTCTCTCTCTCTCCCCGGCGCTGACAACTGAGTTTCCACCCGCGCTGGATCGCGCTAAGCTCGGCGCCAACAGTGCGTTACCTCGGCCGGATGTCCGCAAGTCAGACCCCATGGCAAATCCTGGAAGAGCAAATAGTGTCTCCATGGGCCATTGACCATTGGATCATATCAGTCCACCCAAAATTCAGGGGGCACCTGTCAAAAGACCCTAGACAAAAGCAATCCCATGAAGGGCGCTGACTTCCTTTGGGGATCTTGAAAATAGCTTTCTCAGCACTCTTTGACCTTTTGAAGTGCCTAGGGTCGGGTCCCATTTCATGGAAACCCAGGATTCAGAGGCGTGATCTTTCAGGGGGAACCCCCGCCCACTTTTGGGTAAACGACCCCTCCATTTTTTTTTCATCCATGTTTATGTGGAGTCAGCGCAGCGCAAAATTATGAAGCAGATATTTCGATGAATTCCTGGCTAATCTTCGGAGTTGAAGAGCCCAGGCCAGGAACAGTGTCTGAAATTGTTGGTTTCCTTGACTAAATGACGAAGATGCCTACGAGCGAAGTGTTCAGTGTCAGTTGGCACACAAGAAGCAACCTGCCGCGGAATATAAACAAAACACAAAAAGCGTTTGCCCCCCCTTTCCAAGGTAAAACCATAGGGGGGGTTGCGCATTCAGTTTCCCACGTATCAAGTTGTGCTTCGTAGCCCCTTTGCAATTCAAGTTTTACATCCGCGTCAGCTAAACACGGACACGAACAGAACCAGCAAAGCAAATCACGCGCCAAGAGCGAAGCTCCGTTTGCACAGCAAGACAAACTATCAATCCTGACCAGTCCCCTTGTATGCTTGGATGCCGGCAGTTAAAACAGGGCTGCTAAATACGATGCAATTTGCCAGTAGGTAGTGGACCTGGCGGTCCTTTAACGCATTTGCGGTAAGTTTGGTAAACATGTGGTGCTACCAACGTGGGGGACAGCCATACATCTTGCAACAAAAGAACACTTATCCGATTACTGAACCTGGAATCACGGAGCACTTGCATAAAGGACCGTCTGTGTGTGTGTGTGTGTGTGTGTGTGTGTGTGTGTGTGTGTGTGTGTGTGTGTGTGTGTGTGTGTGTGTGTGTGTGTGTGTGTGTGTGTGTGTGTGTGTGTGTGTGTGTGTGTGTGTGTGTGTGTGTGTGTGTGTGTGTGTGTGTGTGTGTGTGTGTGTGTGTGTGTGTGTGTGTGTGTGTGTGTGTGTCTGTGTGTGTGTCTGTGTGTGTCTGTGTGTGTCTGTGTGTGTCTGTGTGTGTGTGTGTCTCTCTCTCTCTCTCTCTGCCCCCCCCCGGAAACACAAAAAAAACTACGAAGACTGCACATGTACAGGGTTTTTCTCTGAAATGAGTGCCTGCTCGTGCATGTGCTTTGCACACCAGCCGGCATGTGCTTCACGGTTCTAAATGGCTATGCATTCTGAGTCCGCAATTGATGCCTGCAATTGCCTGTGTACTGCCACGGAGTTGATCCTTTTTCTCAACATAAAGCACGTGCATGTATTTGTATGTAAAACACATGGGCCCAATGCGTGATTTGATTCTGACATTCGGCAGTTCAGTGTTTTAACCCGAAGACATCAAGAGAACCCACGCAACAGGCAGCAAAACCGGCCAACGAGGGGAACCTTCAGCCCACCAAACCCATTGGCCTTCAGCTCACTCGCCTTGCCAGGCGGCACTGCGCATTCAAGCGGGCCAAGAGCGTGTCCGGCACGCGCACCCGAATGAAGCCGGAGAATACCAGGGGCCTCAAACCGGGTGAGACACAATGGCGCGGGAGTCAACACAACTTGCTCATTCTCAGGGAAGGGAATGACCCATTCCCTGAGCACCAAGACAAAATGTAAAGGATTGGATTTATTAATATTGCAAAGGATTGGATCGGATCTATTTAAATTGCCAGCCTTCGCTGACCCAAGTTTTCAGCGTGGCCCAAGTGCAACCGGTGGCTCGTTCTCAGAATGAAGCAAAGGCTTGGCCGCCGACCAAATCATTTCGGACCAGAAATGATAAGATTACCACTGCAAACAACTTTTTCCCAAGTGCTTCCCTGAAGAAACCTGCTATATCCTGCTATAGATCAACTCCCTGACGGGTAATTATGTTGTGTGTAAAAAGGTCATGTGTTTGCATGTTCTTGCAGTGTGTCCTTTCTGCGACTTTCTGGGGGACGAGTTTGCCATCACAGGAATCCATTGCCGGATCTGAGGAAAACACATTCACCTTAACAAAATACATGCAAGCTTAAAACTACAAACTCGTCCCGAAAAGCGGTGCAACTCGTGCAGAAAGACCTTGTGCTGGGTCTTGCTTGCAGTGCTGCTTATGTTACACTCACATGCGTGTTGCAAGACATCAGCCATGTACAATGCTCTTCAAAGTTGCTTCATCCTCTCTCATCTCTCTCCCTCTCTGTGGCGTAAATATATCCAAGTGTGGACCGGGTGGTGGAGGGGTGGGGAGGTGTGGGGGATTGATTGGATGGGCTTGCTTTTGCGGAGGTCTAAGGACAGATTCCCAATTTTCTTCACCCAACGTTTGCTCAGAAACCAGCCTTCCCAGCGGTGTTTGGGCAACTGTTGACGAGGGAAAAATGCGCAGCATTCCAGTCTCGGTGTGTGTCAAAATAGGTGACCCTCCCCCCGCCTGGAAATGGCGATGTCTTTGAATGTGTGTTCAATGCCAACCAAAACAAAGTACCCTCAAAACCAAGCGCCTAGATGCGCAGTTGGTTGCTCCCACTTGGGCTTCGGGCCAAAGGCTGTACTCCAGGACCCCGTACTTGCGCTCTAAGGAGCCAACCACCTCGAGGAGGCAACCGGTTTTTACGGAATCAACCTCAGCAGGCAAATGCTATAGTTGTTGCTTCATCCAACTTGCCACGCGGTCAGTCAAACCCATACAGAACGATAGCTTGTTTGCTTGTTTAAATTGCTCGGACCGCATACTGAACAAATGAATCCATTGGCTCTGTTTTGGAAAATAAAGCGTGTAAGGAAACGGCTCGCAATTAACATGTTTGCGGGTGTGCAAGATTCATGTCATTCTGCAAAAGCAGTCTTGCCAATAGCAACGCACAACTACAAAGGAGACTCAACAACCTCTACACATGCTATACCCCCGAAAACACGTGGAAACACAAGGTTTTCAGATTGAGTAAAATACACGAGGCACACAGGCTTTCAAAAGACAAGACGTTGCAAACACAATTGCTTCTGTAACGGTAAAGTGCTCGGCCGATCTCATTCATTTGAGAAGCCGCATCACAATCACAGTCTGGAAAAGCCTTGCTTTGTCCAATCCTTGTAGGAGCTGGCTAGGCTCGCTTGGCCAAAAAAAGTCCCAACTTTTTGCACACAACTAAAATGGTCCGCCCAACAAAGGTAAAGTCAGGAACACGGCCAGAGGGGCCGTGCAGGGAATTCTTTTCACGCAGAGCAGTACCTAGCGCGCTCGAGAACCTCTAAAAAAACCGGAGGAAGCGCTGGGAGGGTGCCTGCTTCTGCTAAGTTAGGTAAGAACACCTGCTATTTGTGTACCAAATTTGCTATCGCGAACTCCATCGTGGATCTTTCGGATTTAAGCAAGCACCAATGGTCGTCAAATACAAAACTCCGTGCCAGGACCGTTTCATGAACACACATATACGTGTCTGTGCGATTTTGTATGTGCGTGGTGCCTGCGGGCGTGCGTCCGTCCTGCCAGGCGTGCGCGCAAGCATGCGGGATCGTGCAGGCGTGCGGGCCTGGCGGTGCATGTGTATGCGCAATCATGTTTGTTTTTGTGTGCGTGTGTTTGCGCATTCAATCGTCTGGGTGCGTGCGTGTCTGTATGCTAGTGTGTCTTTGTTTGTAGCTATGAAACTCGAGGAAAGCAGGTCCGAAATAACAATCCCAAAAGAGGCATTGACAAATTGCTGGATGCTCGCGTTCACTGCGTACAGCAGCACTCAGCTTTTGACTGCTTCTCTGAGGAGGTCGTAGCTGCAAAGCTACAAAGCAGGAACATGCTATTGCTACAGGGCAGCTCTCTGCTTCGACAATTCATTCAGGTACTTCTTGAGAATGCGTCTCGGCATGCCTGTGAGGACATCTTAGATTGGCGAAAAGAGCTACCAAAACAGCAATAGCGGAACAGGCAACTGACAACTGGCTGGATGCTCGCGTTCACTGCACACGCAGCACGCGCATCAGCAATTGAAAGCGCCTCTGAAACTCTGAAAGGCACTCGTAGCTACAAAGCTACAGAGCTACACAGAATCAAGCATGCCACTGTGCGTCACCAACGCTAATTCTGCATTCCAACAAATTCCTGGATCCGGACCAATCTGTACCTCACAACGCTACAAGGTGGTCTGCTTCGACAATTCATTCAGAGGGGATGCGTCTTGGCATGCCCCTTGAAAAGACATCTTCGATTGCCGAAAGAGCCGCCATGAAACAACAATCCCACAGGAGGCATTGACAGATTCCTGGATGCTCGCTTTGACCCATGTGCAGTACAAGCATCAGCCTTTGAACGCTTCCCTGACAAACAGTGCTTATTGCAGTTACATTGAGAATCAAGCATTCCTCCTCAAATGGCCAATGCTCATTCTGGATTCCGGCAAACTGCCGGATCCCGATCAGTCAGTACTTGACAAAGCTACTAAACGGCTCTCTGCCTCAACAATTCATTCAGGCACTTCTTCAGAATGCCTCTCGGCATGCCTGTGAGGACGTCTTCGATTGCCGAAAGGCTGCCAGAAACAACAATCCCAAAAGAGGCATTGACAAATTGCTGGATGCTCGCGTTCACTGCGCATGGCAGCACTCAGCTTTTGAGTGCTCCTCTGAGGGGGTCGTAGCTGCAATTCTACAAAGCAGGAACATGCTACTGCTACAGAGCAGCTCTCTGCTTCGACAATTCATTCAGGTACTTCTTAAGAATGTGTCTTAGATTGGCGAAAGGAGCTACCAAAAACAACAATAGCGGAAGAGGCATTGACAAACGGCTGGATGCTCGCGTTCTCTGCGCACTCACGCATCAGCAATTGAAAGTGCTTCTGAAACCCTGAAAGGCACTCGTAGCTACAAAGCTACAAAGCTACAAAGCTACAAGGCAGAATTAAGCCTGCCTCTGTAAGTCACCAATGCGAATTCTGCATTTCAACAGAGTTCTGGATCCGGAACAGTTAGTACCTGACAAAGCTTGAAAGCAGACTAAGCATACTCTCTTAAATCAGCAATGCATTTTGTTTGCATGCTGGATCCGGATCAGTCAGTACTTGCCTCGCCGAAGCTGGCTTGCAACTCCAGAACGGCTGACTGAATAGGTTCCAGTTTTCTACAAGGGCACATCTGCATGAGGCGGTTGAAGCTCATTTTGCAGAGGGCTCGGCTCAGACTCTTCAGCATAAGTGTGGTGGAGGGGGGGCTCAGGAACCTGCAAGCATGCCAAGTGCAGCTCCATGAGATGAACTCGGCTCGCTCGCGGCAGCTTTTCCGCCCAAGCCTTCAGATAGGGAAGGACGAGGCTCAAACTCTCTTCCTCACTGAGGCCGCGCAAAGCGAGGCGCTGCTGCTTGTCCAGGTTCACAAAGGGCCCGCTTAAGCGGGGCATACGGAGGGATGGAGGGAGGGAGGGGGGGAGGGACTCCTGCGCTTCGGCGCATGCGTTGGATCTCTTGCCCGCCTCAAAGTCTGCGATCAGAGCAGAGGCACGCTCCTCCAGCGTGTCAGTTTGGTCATCTGTATCAGGTTCCGCGGTCCGCTCAAGGAGAGCAGGAAGGCTGACTGATCTCCTTGCTGACGAAGTGCGCCACTTTGTGGTGATGAAGGTGCTTTCTACACAATAATACATGGCCACTAAACTTGGACTAACATGGGAAAACCAGTTAAAAGGTCGATTCGCTTCTGGCGAATCAAAGCTTTCTGGGATTCGAGGCGGGCAGTGTTCCATTTTCTGTTGCCGAAGTCGGAAGCTTCTGGGAGTAACCCCGATCTGGAACTTCTACAATACTTCAGCTTCCCTCAAATTGGTGGCTAGAGATGTTTTTTACCCTCTAAAAAATACAGGGGGTTCTTCAAATTCCCCGTTCTCACCAATTCAAACCACCAACTAAGAATTACCTGAATATGTCCAAAACCTGACAAAAGACACCCCAAGTAGGGCGACCTTGAGGGATCGCTTCTACAACCTATTCGGGAATGAATTGGTTCACAAGGGGGGTTCCCTGTGCAGTCGCCCCCAACCAGTTCCTGCTTACTTGTCTCGAGCCCAGAACTCGCTTATTGCGCAAGGTAAGAAATGAGGCCGGTTCTAGCAGGTCCAGTGAACGGCTAAATATAAATATAGGTCAAAAATGAGGTGCCGGAAATGGGCGTGGTAAATGGAAACAAGGAGGATTTCACCTGCACTCCATATCCTGGTTTTATTTTGACCCCACTCCCTATTTGGGTGTGGGTCAAAATTAAACCACCAGGGGACTGCAGGATTTGGTGCATGGCTCCACTTACCAGGGTTCCATTTGGGGTACCTATTTTTGAACCACTCCCCATATGCGCGATCCCCTTTTTGCTTGGCCTTTAGCATCCTTTAGCCCTCCTTTTGAGGTGAGTCGGTCACGCCTCTGTGCCGAAGGTGGTCAGGTCCGGCCTCTCCTGAAATTTGGTCGGCCCTTTGGTCCCTCAAGACCCCGATGGCCCCAATAGGCCCAATAGGGGCCCCAATAGGCTCCAAGGTGTGCCTGGAAATGTGCCCCATGGATCTACAAGTTTAGAATTGCAAGACCTGCAAGAGAAATTGGATCCCAACAGGACCTTCAGCTGGCTTCTCCGGGCGGGCTCGTCAGAATCCGTAGTAGAAATGGGTTCAAAGGACTGGGGGGTCAAAGGGCATCCGCCCTTCTTTGGGCTCCATTGTTGAGAACCCGCGAGTGACTTACTTGCGCCAACTCTCGGGTTTGAACCCAAGGGGTGTTTGACCTTCTTTCAGGAACAGCTTGGAGCAACGAACGATTTTTCCCCATTGGGGGTCTAAAGGTTTTGCCTTGCCCATTTACCTATCGACCCCCATCCCCCTTTTTGGAGGGAATCAGGCATCCGCCTCTCGTGGCATAAACCTGGGGCCCGAGACTCCAGTCTGGGGGGTGGGAGTCCCTTCGTCCTTGGCCTGCTCCAACACCAGGAGGTTCTCCTCCTCGTGAATCGCACGTCACAAAGCAAGATGAGAGCCAAAATCCATCGAAACCCCGAAACGCCATGCCAAACCCTTAAGGCCCACTTTTCGCGTGGAATGGCTAAAGTCTAGGATGGTTGTTTACCACGAACGTGGCCTTCCGGCGCAAAAACAAACAAGCAAACCTGGGAAGCATAGATCTGACCCACAAGTGAAGGACACGCTAAAGGGGTTACCCCACATAGAACCGTATATGCTCCACGAAAAGAATCCCAACTTGCAGCAGGCTAGCTATGGCAAGGCTTCAAACCTGCCGGTGGCCCAAAAAAAACGACCACAACTTACCGAGGCCGGTCAGGTTTCATGTAAGGGCATCCCTGAAAATCCGTGGCACGTGACTGGAACCAACCTTTCAGCCCCCCCCCCCACTTTCACTGACCTACGGACATCCACTGTTGGCTGGGCCATGGCACTTAGGCGTCCCTTTGGAATATTGCGCTGGGTGGAATCAAGTTCAAGCCACCCCTTCACTAAGGACATCGGCTCGATTCGGCCGCGCCTGCACCACGTGCAGCTCCCCGGTGCCGAGTCGAAGCTGCCAGCCTCTCGTCGCCGCTTCGCCGGAGCGATCAGTGGATCCGTCACTGGCCCCCGGTGGCCAAGCAGTGACCCGGAAGGTGGAAAAGATAAGTAAAATCGTTCCTTGTGGCGGGAAAGCCATGGTGGCATCAAGGCCGCCAAGCACAAAGGGACAAAGGCTACGACTGAACTGGCCGTCGTTAAGGAGGTCGCCTTTTCGGAGGCTTCATGAATTGGGAAAACCAGAAAACCAAAAGGCCAGAAGGAACGCATCCATTAATTCGTTTATTCGGAAACATGAACAGTCCATTGATTGAAACTGAAGAACTTTCTAAACAGAATGCTTCAACCACCCCGATTTTAACTCATGCAGGGGCGATATACGAAAGCGTGCATGATGGGTTCAGGTTGCAAAGCAAGCCCAAGTGAAACCGGCCAAAGAAACCCTTTTATCAGCACAATATTGTACCTCGCAAAGCTGAACATGTGAAGAGTAGGCAACGATCGACTCCGGAAAGGACCATCGCTTCCTTTGCTTCCTTGGGATGCGCAGAGTGCCGCTTTGGGCGCCGCTTTAAACCACATTCCAAGCTGACATCCAACGCTCCGGGTCGAGTAAAGTGGCATCCTCCAAAGTGGCGTCTACATGGTGTTTTCAAGGGGACCCCCACCCCCACGCCCCAAAATCCATTGTGAGACGTCCAAAACCACTTTAAAACAAACAGCTGGATCAGATCCCCTTATGCTCAGGAAAAAGGAATTTGTGGTAGGCCCGATGTACTCTTTCCATGCTTGGTTGCTGTTGATCCCTCTGCAAAAAGTGTTTAACTTTTGTGGGTCCAATTCGGAAAATCCGATCTGTTTCCCAAAAGCTAAGGTTCAAAGATCCGCTACCAACTAGCCATAAAAGGTGTTAGTTAAACATGTGGCGTTTTCGTGATTCTTGGCGCATTTAAGGCAGGTTTCCCTTGGTAGGGGTCATTCGCCAGTCACACCACCAAAGTCGAGGGCCACTGCAGCTCCGCAGTGGGCAGACCCGGGCTCGTCACTGCCAGCCGCGCCCCGGGCGCAGCACGGGCCACTGCCAGCAGTCGGCCACCGAAGGCGTTGCGCCAAGGCGACGCGTTGGGCACCTGAGTGCATTGGCTAGAAAAACCGTCCGAACTTTCTGCATGTGTTCCACTATACCTGAATCATGCTGAGGTTCTCACTTGAGTGGATCGGCCAGAAGAAAGTCCGAACTCTTCCCCCTTTTGTTCCCACTGAAATGGTCCCGAAAAAGTGCTTGAATTCCAGGAACTCGGGAAGTGAGGGTTCTCGCATTTCCCTGTTGGACATCACCCCCCCAAGGAACCTTTCTTTAAGAGGCAGCCCTGCTCAAGTGATTGCAGTTCAATGGAATCTCAAAGTATGTCTTTCCAGGTTGACAGAACCCCCCGAATAAACAGTAAAGACTGATTTGTTGGCTTGGGGCTAGGGGTGCTTCCCTTGGCACTTGTGGTTTTGCCGGCTGGTTGTCCCCACAAACCGCCCTGCAAAGCCAACCCCTACAGTTAGAGTTTGATAAACCTCCGACCAAATGTTGCCTTCACGGTTTGGGGAGGTTGAACCAGGTTGGGGGGGGTTGTGGGCTCCTGAAGTGTTACAACAGGCACATACTTCAGCCGCGCAGAAGCAATCTCAGCACCTCGCTTGGGCTTGCCGGGGTAATCTCACTTGCTGAGCGAATTGCAACCAGAAAACCTACAAACTGTTTGTTTGCCATTAAATTGATCCTCTCAAGAGTTTGTTTACAGTCCAAAGCCGGGCAAGTAGGAGGGTGGACGTGCACGTTGAGAACGCTTTGGAGAGCGGTCTTCGAGAAAGGGCATCTGCTCCCAAACATGTGGGAAGTAATTCTTTCAACCATGGGTGCTTCTGACCATGAGCAATCCAGGTGCAAAAGCATGCATCATATGAGCATAAAAGCCCACTCCCTGGAACAAAACCTGTCAAGGGACCAATCACTGGCTTGCAAGGACTCATCTAGCTCACAAGCGCTTCTGAAGACGCGAGAGACGTTGAATCGCAAACAAAGCGCAAGTAAACCGATGACTTTCGCAGGAGGTTTTGGACATGACCCTTAAAGTTCCCCTCAGCGAGAACCCCGTTGGATGCTTCGTAGGGGCTCCTTCCCAGTCACTCCCGGGCGCCTGGTCGGCCGGGTCCCCGCTGCAAGTGCCCAGCACAGTGGCGCCTGGGAGCTCCATACTGACATGTTCCTCTCAGCTGGACTAGGTCTTCACGGGAAACTTGGTTGCTGCAACGACCCCCCCCCCGCAAAAATATGTTTAACTTGTTGGGAGTTTAGTGGAAACTCTGAAACACCCTTAACTTCCCAAACAGTGAAAGCCTAAAGATCCAACCCAATAGCAGTCAAGAAAAGCTGCAGTTTGTGCAGATCAGACTGATCATTCTGACAGCGAACTGTGGGGTCAAAGGGAGCCCTGCATTCCGGTGGGGATGGGGAGGTTGCAGCCGTTCTAAGGAAGACCAACTCCAGTTCCAGCTGAAGCACTATCTAACGTAATGGTTTCCACAAAGAACCCGTGGGAATACCCAGATGGTACCAAGGTCCCCCTCCTCTCCCTCCCCCCGCCGCGCCCGAACGAAATAGCTTTCTTACTTTGCCCTCTTCACCCCTGAAAGTAGTAGTGGGCACCATCTTAAAACATGATAGGACCCATCAGCCGTATGTGCCATCAAAACATCTGGCCACTGCGGGATATTCCAGGCACTCCCCAGAGGAAAATGGTCTTCCAGCGATCTCCAACTGGTTTCTTCTTCCATGCGTGTGTGTGTGTGTGTGTGTGTGCGTGCCCAGTAACAGAGGGGTGTTAGGAGGTGAGGACTTTGTGTTCTCTCTCCATGTTCAAGTCTTGTCTCAGTTCCAAACTTGTGGCTTTCCACTCAAACCAAACCCAGGTCACTAAAATCCCACGAACTCGGGGTGGCCCCCTGCCCGACATCCCAACGGCGCACGCGCCTGCGAGGCCTGTCACAGTGATGACGTTGGAGGCTGTAGGCACCAAGTTCCCGTGCTGATCGACGACCTCGATGGAAATCAGCGCCACTTCCTGCCGGCGAGCCAAAAAGGGCCGGAGCTCGTACACCAGATACATGTGCGTGAATGTGAAGAGGGAACGTGTTTTGATATGTTCGTGTGATTCAAGGGGCAAATAGCAAGCAACCAAGTGGTAACGCAGAAACAATACTCAAACATGCCTGCAGACAGTTCCCCATTTCGTGTTTGTTGTTAAGACGATTTAAGACGAGAACAGACCCTGTGGACATCATGAGAACTCACCTCCACCACCCTCAGACATTGTCAGAGCCACATGAACTCACCTCACTCACCTCACTTATCCCAGTCAGAACCAAGGAGTTGAAGTTATGACTTAGAACCATAATTTACTTATCCCAGTCCCCACTCGCACCACAACCTTCCAGGCTCTCAGAACCTTAGAGGCTGCTGGAAGGCTCTCGGAAGCCTTCACAGAAGGCTTCATTCACAACTTGGGCGAAACCGGTTCTTGGTACCGACACGGAATGCATTTTTGCCCATGATCACGCCATCTGAACCCATCAGATTGAACTCCCAACCTCCATTCTGAATAGGATCCCCCGCTTGTCCCGACATGTTTGAAAGGGAACGTCACGCCGTGGTGGCCCCTGATTAGTACGATCCTCCTCGTTGCTCTCGGGATCCCACTGTGGATGGACAAAAGCCCCCTGCTCAGTTGCTTAACTATCCCAGCAATCACAGTGTTCACAGGGCTTCAGCCAGGTTTCATCCGTCCCAACTGCAGAAAAATCCGTCCTTGCTCTTGGGCACCGCCCCGAGCCCATCTTTGAAGGCAACCCTCAGAGCGCTCGCAGGGCCCGTGGTGCTCACGCTTGTCATGGCCACCACCTCGAGAGGCATGGGAGGGGGGTTTCCGGTGGAACTAACTATTCAGCCCCTTTCATGTTTGAGCCATGGTGGCCCGACCATACGTTTGCAGGAATCCACCCAATTTGTTTGTGTGCCTTTAGGAAATTTGAACTATTTGGGTGCGTGCGTCCAAATGGGGGAAGCTCCTGAGTGGTTGGTCTCGTTTTGGTTTCCCTGTAAAACAACCCCGCAGAATTGATGGGTTGGTGTGGTACCTGGCCAAGGGGTGTACCCTTAGAACCCCCAAACAAAAAAAACGAGGAGATCAGAGCCTGTGACCATGTGGGCCATCACTACTTGGCACTCAAGTCGCACAAAGACATGGAGTTTCTCCGCAACCATCTGGGTGAATCATGAAAATTAAGCCACCCAATAGACGAAGCATCGTCCTCTAAAGATTAAATTGGAACCCAAAAAGGCTCGCCAATTTCTGGAGGAACCTCCTTTGGCAGGGTAAGGCAGGGCTGGTGAAGGACTTGTTCATTTCGTAAAACGCGCAATGAAGTGCGGATGTGCTCCCTGCTCAACTTTGACACGCACACTGACCAAACATGTGCGGCGGTGCTTTCTATAAGCCTACCTAAAAACATGATGGAGCAAACCTGCCTGTTTTCCCTGGAGTCTGGGAGGTTGGATCCTTACCAAGCGCCTGGCCTCCCCAAAATGGAACCCAACTGAAGCATTGGAACCAGCTTGCTCACAAAAAGGGGATGGTTGATAAAACATCAAGGCATGCGCAGAGATGGTTGCCACCTCTCTCCCCTCCAAACGTCTTGGGTGATTCGAATCTCAAGAAAGGTAATCAACATAGAAAGGTGGTTGGCCTCAACAGCTTTGGGAGAGACCCAAACGCCAAAAGTCTTGACTTGCTAAAACAGATGTACACTGACTGCAGGTTGGATCAGTTGTTTGAGAAGCGAATCGCTTCCTGTTGCCGTGTTTGCTTGTGGGAAGCGAAGGCCAAAAGCTGGCAGTTTGTTCGGCCGTTGGGATTGCAGATGGGTATGTGACATGATTGTTCTTGAGGGCACCCTTTTTGGGATTGTTCAAATGCGGCAATCCAAAGGAAGCTGATTTAAATGCCCTGGATTTAGACCTACACTCTTTTTCCAAATAGTAGGAGCGTCCGCCACTTCTTCTCTATGGTGGGTTTATTGTTGTTCCATCAGATGACAGCCGTGCATATGCTCGACAAATACCTAGTTGGCCAGTGCCAGCTTCTTTCAGGAACAACAGCGAATCAGCCCACAGTGACTTCCGAACTTCCTGATTCACAGGCCACAGGGCACCAAAAGGCGCCCTGAAAGCAAAAAGGACAACCCCCTGCATATATTGGACAAACATCCTCCCCAAAAGTGTGACTTTTAAAGGATCGCCCCGGATTTATTTTATTCACGTCCTATCAATAGGGGGCATTCCCTCCGGAAGTCTGAACCCCACGAAACAGAGACACCCCTCTGTTAATCAGCCAGGGGTTTATTAATCCCGGGTTCCACCACATAGACCCCAAAGCACCTCACCTGAGCTTGTCGCTGCTCCTCGGGGTGGCTCCAAAAGGGGGGGCCGAGCGGAAAACCACCAGTTTGGGGACACATACTCTCGAGGGGGTGTATCCAAATACCAGTGGAATGTTGGTTGAGCGGCTGGTCAGAAATAGTGCAGGATGCCCGATAAAATGGGAGCCCCCCCCCCCCAAACCAGAGTCAACCATGGGTTTACGGACGAGTTTTGGGCTTCTTTGCTAAGTAAACTTCAGCCGCTTAAGCCTCCAAATTCTCCGAACGTCCCCCAAATGATTCTAACCCTTTCTGTGATAGCAAAGTGGGCCATCCCTGTCTACTTTGCCAGCTTCCCTTGGTTCACAGGAAATGGGCCTTCACAGCGGTGCTTAAAAAGTCTTGCAAGAACTGATGAACTGATTGAAACCGGCTCATATGAAACCATCTGAAGTAAGTTAACGTGCTTGAATTATGTCGTTTTTCAGCGCCCAACTTTCCACAACCACGCGCGAAGTCTTCGCCCCACTGTTCTTCTCAATACGCGCCTGGCCGTTCACGTAGCCGCGCGCCCGTAGGCTGCCCGCCTGGAAACGCACCTGGACATTGCCCTCCAAGTTGCGCACAAAGGGACAAATTGGGACGTGTCGCAATGGGGAACCCCTGAAATGGGTAGCATCCCTTTTGTTTCCCCGTGAAAACAACCCAAAAATAAAAGGCCCCCTAGAACACACACCAATCGACACTGTTGCTTGGGTTCCTCCTAACTGGTGGTTCTTTTTTGGGGAGGGCGGTTTCCCTTTGTTCGCCAACCCCAAAAACTGAACCGCCTCAATGATCCGCACTAAACCGAGCCCCAAAAAGCGGAGTTCTGCTGGCCGCTCCCCCAATGCCATGTGGAAAAGTTGAGGCATGCACCAAACCCAATGGCCTCTGTGCCCAGGAGTTTCCCCAACAACCTGAGAGGTTGCCGAAAAGTCAGATCACCTTGGGCCGTTGTCCAACCTTGGACAAAGGGATCGCCTTTTCCGCCATGTCTTCACCGGATAGCCCCCGGCAGCTCCCTGTTTAGCGAAGTTGGATACCAGCTTCGCTTCCCAAGCAGCTGACCAAATATGGTGGGACCAGAGAAACGGCTCGCCTTGGCTCGCCTCAGCGGCGCAAAGCGAGGAAAAGCTGGTTTTCGGGATGCATGCAGAAGGCGTTCCTGGCTTCTTTGTGTTCACCCCATATTAATCCACCCCAGTCTACTAATGTGGGTTGCGGGTTTTGGTGGGGAACCTTCACTTTGGGGGGGGAACACCCCCATATCAACAAATCTGGGGTCGATTCGAATCCGGCCGCCGGAGGAAGCACCTCCGGCCATTCGAAGTGGGAGCAATTTCCGGCGACGGGAAAGCGGCGACCCATGGAGCTGCCGCTGGGGTGGATCCTCAGGCCCGAGCGGCTCAAATGGACATCTCTCTGGGTCCCGTGTCTGCCGGGGTGGAAATGGGAACTGTTCTTGTTTTGTTTTGTTCTTCTTCTTTCTTTTTGATGCCAAGGGGGGGTGGGGGGGTGGGAGGAAAGGGCACCCGTATTTGGGTCGGTTGAAATGAGAACCAACAGGAAAACCGCACATTTTGGGGTACCCCCCCCATGCGTCAACATAGGGGGGCCAAAAACTAGAGCGGCTACTACCTCGCCGTTAAATAATGTACTAGTCACCGGGTTCCTTTCAAAGCGAAGGTCTCAAACACATGCGGATCATGCGTTCGTTCGGGGCAAATTCCTTATTATAACCTAGGAACAGTTCCGGGGTGCCAGGGTGCCTGGAATAAGGGGAGGCAAACAAAGCTCTGGTCTTTTTCTGCGCTCGCGGATCACTTATGCAACGATCCTTGCAAACACAAATGCAAACACGTGGCATTTGCTTGATGAACTCATTCCCACCAACAAGGGAAACGCTTCTTCAATGTAGGCCTTGCAAAGAAACAACATAACACAAAACTCCGAGCAACAAAACATGAAGGTCATGTCGTGTTTAGGCCTGTGCCCCCTGACGAAGCAAGGTTCTTTGGTGACCCCACCAAACAAAACGAAGGGAAGGGTGGAACCCACTCAACATCTGCGGTCAACTAAAACCTCCCTGTAGAAACTTATTGCGGGGATGGTCACTTCCCATACACGGGGCGGCCGGATCATCCATCCCTCAAGTTCGGTAGCCATCTTCCAGAACTGGAATCAGAGCATATCAATGTTTCAAGGGACTTTCCAGGGATTGGCTTTTGAGGTATGGAGGTCAGATAGTTGTTTACCACTTAATTAATAGGGCTGCACTGCGTTACAAGCTCTTGATAACATGTAAGCCTCCATACCTCCAACAACCAGACCTGGAAATGCCCTTGAACCACCTCGACTGGTAAGGCTCAGCTCCACCTCTTCCACGTTGGAATACGCCCACACCTCGGCAAGGCGAGGGATGGCATGCATCGTCGCCGGGGCTTCGAGGGGTTGGCCCTTCGGCCCTTTGCGGGAGGGGGGCTCGGGACTCGGCACTTGCAGGTTTCGTGGGGTGTCGCTTGCGTTTGGATAGGCATTTCTTTGCCCGAGCTCTTGTTCTACCCCCTCGTTTCGCTATTCAGAAATTCGTGTCTGCAGGACGCGAACCAGCCAGCAAGCATCCGTTGGTTGGTGACAGCTCGAACACTTACCAGGGAGTACCGTGCAAGCGTGGGACCACACCCCCAAACAATGAGATTTCATGCCCCAGGATTCAAAGGTGCAACAATACTCCACGTGCCAGTCTTGGGGTGTGCTTCCCCCCCGCCCTCCAAAAGTCATAGGTTTTGAGACCACCCAAGGTGACCAAGGTGAATGTGGCCTGGGGATGCGAACCCTGACAAGTGCAGGACATGTTCCAGACATCGTTATACTCACTGGTGTTGAGGGAGTGGAGTGAGTATGGGTACCATTGGGTTAGGGAACATAAGGACCCACGTGCCCAAACATGAGCACCGAGGGATGACTAGTTGACTGCACACAGGGTGCTCCCTAAAACCCGACAAGAATCATCGACCATTTCTGGCTGGAGTATGGAGGATCCTTTTTTCTTGTGGCTGTAAAAGGGGAAACGCAAGGAAAACGGCACCTAAACAACGAGACACCCCCCATAACTGATCTTTTCTTAGGAGAGCCGTTGCAGAGTCAACAGGCTTGACGTGAAACACAACAAGCTGATAACCGGGCCGCTGCCCACCAAAATTGCAATCCTCGGGCTGCAGGTCGTAAGCAAACAACAGAAATCCAGGGCATGCTCAAGGCTGTAAGCAGCGGTTGTAGGTTACACGGTCACTGGTGTAGTTCAACATGGTTTTATGTTAAACATGTTTCGATTGAAGCAGCCGCCCTTTGCTTTTCGCGCGTTCTTGTCTGGTTTGAGTAATTCTGCCATTTCCTGCGGGTTCAAAGCTACGCTGAAAGAGCAACATGGTAAAAGGAGGCCTTTGGCTAGCAGCGCTGACTCATACGATGGCCACGCTCGTTACAGTGGCTTGATCCACAGCCTGTGGCCATTTGTCAAGCGAAGACTTTGTGGCCCTCAATCCGGCTTTTTGTGCAGGGGGTTGTTGTTACATTGTTGTCCGGAAGATGTTTTTCTCTTTTGGGGGAGTTTGCTACCATCTGTCAAGCGGATTTTGCCTCCTGTTTCGGAGAGATCCCATTCAATTCCGAACTTTCTTCTACACGTTCGCGCCTTCAAACCCAATGCTAACTCGCGACCTCAACGATGCGAAGCGCCGTTGACTGTATTTGCATCTTTTCACGAGGTGTCTTCTCCGTTGCACGGGGTCAAACTGTGCAGCGAAAGGCTTCTTCACTCGAAGGCATTTGCCAGACTTACAGCCCCCCTACCCCCAACACTAACAAAGGCCAACGTGCAGCCGTTTGACCTCCTGGTTTGGCCATGAACAATTTGGGGTTCGCGAAGACGAGCAACCCCGTCTTAGCGTCCCCCAACACAACAAACACCTCAACGAACAACGTCCATCTGAAAAGGCGGGACAGATCTCAACAAAACACACCCAGTGGATCCCAGTTACCTACTTGATTGCTGTTGACCCCCCTGCAAAAGGTTTAGCTTTTTAGTGGAAAACGCCTTGATTTCCCGAAAAGTTAAAGTCTAAAGATCCAACCCAATAGCAGTCAATCCTATATATAATTAGTAACCAGGCATCCACCCTTGGTTTAGAAGCTGGTGCTGGTTCTCTTTGATACCTGCTACACAAAAAATGGAATTACTTGGACATGCGCAAAAGGCTTTGGTCGGAACAAGTTTTACGTTTGCCAACTCAATACAGGGCCTCTTCAAGAACGACATGCAAATACTAATGCAAATAACACATTGAAAATCAACGCCAGCAAAATTACGTTATTTCATTCATGGGGAGAATGGCCAGTACCCTGGCGCGTTGATTCTTGATCCCTATCGGGCAAAAGAGGCGACAAGTTGGTGTCTTGTGCTGAGGGGAGGTCTCCGATTCCGGCGCCTCCACGGTCTGGTTCTCGGCCCAGTTCCAGTGGGGCAGCAGGTGCAAAGCCGGCGGAGACGCCGAGGTCCAACACGCGTGGTACCAATGGGCGCGGTGCTTCCTCAGAAGTCGCTCCATGCTCGGATCTTCGGGCAGGTACGTGGTTTGGGCTACAAGCCTCCGAACAGATAAACTCCACTGCTGGGGTTGCAACCTAGGTTAACTCAGAGGCCGACGCAAGTAGATCCAGGAGCAAGTAGACTCCAAAGGGAAACCAAGTAAACAGGGACTTGGCACTCACAGCAACCTCAGCTTTCTCGAGCGCTCCCCGGTTTTTGGGGAAAGCCGGTACTGTGGGTACCGTGCCCAGCGGGCGGGAAAATCCCATTGTTCGCAACAGGCTCAGGAGGCATTAAAGCCAACAAATGGGATGTGTCTCAAAATAGGGGGCGCTGAAAATGGCGGCTTTCCTCATGTCATCCGTTTTTTAGCACCCGCAAAAGGGTGGCCTCACCCAAAAAGACACGCACACGACCACACCCATTCGCGGAGATGCTGCTTCCAAGGGGTCAGCTGGGGCTTCACCGATGGCTCCCTTCGAGTCCAAGCTGCCAGAAGCCCGCCATGTCCTCGGCGAGGCGAAACCGAAGGAGCTCATGCGCGTGCGTGGCTCACAATGGGCGTGTTTCTCGTTGTTTCTCGTTGAGGGTACCCCCCCTTTCGGGCTTCAAAGGGGAACCAAAAGGAAAACCACCACCATTTGGGGGTCCCTACAACAGAAACACACTAGAGATTTGGACCCCCAAGCTTGTGGTTTTGCCTCGGTGCCCCTAAAACACGCAAGAAGGGGGTGCCCTCAAGAGTTGTTTGAGGAATCCGAACATGCAAAAAGGTCGAAAAAGGCGCCGTGAAAAAACCTATTGAGTGCCACTGTTGAAAACAGTTCAATGAAGGACAACCAACAAGTTGAAAACAGATCAGAAAGCCACTCTCCCAACAAACGTTGAAGTGCACAGGCCGCTTTTCCCAGAAGCTTCTCTTGGCAGTTCCCCTCTAGTTTCGAAGGCTTAGACCAACATGTTCGCCCCGGAATCATGGCAAATGACGCAAGCCTCCTGCCGCTGACCCATGCAGACTGCCTCAGTGACCCAGGCTGGCTACAGGTGGGAACCTATGAAGTAAGAACGCATCAGCAGCCCCTAAACCCCAAAACCCATATCATGGCCCCGCCCGAGAAGCACTCGAATATCTTCGAATCCTCAGACATGGGACGCTCCCTGAAGGGCTTGGTTATCAACTGCAACTGGGTTCCCATCAAAAGCGTAAGCTTTGTTACACAAAGGCGAAAGGCATCAAAGGGCGCATGAAGGATTTTACACAAATGCAAGCCGAGCAACACGGCAAAAGAAACAACAGCACACATATCATTGGGAACAAGTACGGTAAGCAATTCGAAACAAAACCCTTGGCCTGCCAAGGTTCCAACTAATTCAGACAAACAACTCGCTCATGGCAAACAAACAAGTCAGCGCCTTTATTTTTTCCACTCGTGAATTTTCACAGGTGGCCTCTTTGGGCATCATGATTTGGTGGGTTTTGGTCCACCAATCACTTGATGCCACCCCCTGATTCATATTAATACCCAGAGTTATAAATCAAGGGAGGTCCCACTGGAAGAAAGCACACCGTACTAAACCGTGTCCCCTTGATAGTAAGTGGCGCAGGTATTAATCAGGGGTCCACAGTAGGTGGTTCCAAGTCTTCAAACCGCGTTGATCAAAAGGTCCTCTACATGGGATGACCATTGGTTGGACAACCGCGAAGATGATATGTGAACCACATGGGATAGGTGTTCCATGGCCCTTTGGGGAAGATAGACTCAGATGCACAGTGGCCATGGCGAACAAAAAGGGCATCCTTTTTTGGTTGGTTGAGTTTGAAGGGGAACTTCTTCCCCAAAAAGAAGTTGGAAAAAAAGGGGGCGGAATCCACTGGGCCACTGGGCTGATCAACCCTGTCAACCACAGGGTTGGAAAGTGTGTTGCATGGTCCTTTCGGGAATAATGCTGACCCCATATTAAGAAACGCCTGGTTTATCAATATTGGGGTTCCCTTCCAAAAGTGATGATTCACCACTACACTCAGGAACACCCCCTCAGCAACATTGATCAACGCCCCCCTTTAAAGGTTCAGTTCACCAAGAGAATTGGGTGTGGTTCCTTTTGTTGTAGACCCCCCCCTGTTTTGGTGGTCTTAAAAGGGAAGACAAACGGAAAAGTCCCCCCATGCCACGTGTCCAGGATCCCGAAGTGTGAGCTCACGTCCGGCCAGGCGTATGGCGTAGGCTCCCCCCGGTAGTCCCAGCCAGTCCAGGTAAAGCCACCCGCCACGAAGGGGCGCCTGAGGATGGCCTGCCAGGCCACCTGACGTCAGTGGGAAATCAGATCCGCGTGGGGGGAGGAGGGTGGCCCCATAGAATTCCACCGGCGGTTCCATGTTCCCTTTTGCGGGCATTATTTCTCAGGGGGTGGGGATAAATCGGATCCGATTCTCAACATGACAACAGTACTGGGGTTCAGACAGGCTGGACATTAGACTGAGTGGAGAGAATTGGGTTGAATGAGGAGTTGGGGTAACTGGCTGACTGGCTGGGTTCCCGTGTTTCTTTTGCCAGCTTCTTTCGCGAACAAAAAAAAGGGGGTCCACTCGAAAAAAGGGAGGGATCAATCCCCTTACTTTGGGAATTGGGGTGACCCGGTCCCCGATGTTGCTAGTCTTCCCCACCAGGAAAATGGAACTGCTAAGGAATTCTAGAGGGTCGCCCCCATCCCCCGATTCCATTTTTAAGGGGGTGGGGATAAATCGGTCCATTTGCCAAGATGGCATACGGTTTCCTGTTGGTTTCCGGCTTCGTTTGCCGCAAGATAGGGGGTCCACTATTTGGAGAAACTCGCAGTATGGTGGGGCAATGCTGGTGGGGAACCTTACTTGGCCCAAGGTTCATGCGCCAAAAAGTCAGAATTGAAGCCTCATCCACATGTAGCCTGCCCTCAATGAACGGATTTACGGCATCCCTTAGAGCACGCCGACCTGCGCTGTCTGCCCCCAGGAGGGATGCTCGGTATCATAGTCTCGCACGTGGCCGGTCTTGGGGTCGTTCTGCACCAGGCCTGAGAGACTGTGACTGAAAAATGGATACGGTTTGTGAATTTGTTCTGAGCAACAACCTGTGGCCCATTGCAGGAAGAAATGGGCGTGGTGATGTGTGGTGGCCAAAAATGCTTGAGCTGGTCGCTTCGGGTTGGTCAAATCGACCCTAGTGCAAAGTTGTCGACTTGTTGCTATTGTCAACTTTCAGAGTAATCCGGAGCACGGTACTAATCAAGAGTAGTCCCCTTCTCAGTGGAGGATCTATTCCTTTTGGGTGGATTCCTGTGATTAATATGATTCCCCAGATTAATCCAACGTTGGCGTCAGCCAGTAGGGAAACCGCCCACCAACTGACATCGAACTTAGCGGGCGGGGGTCCTGAGATTGGCAATTGTCCACTCGGGGGTACTAAGCTGAAGTTGGTTCTAGAACAACAGGTTCAATTCCTCTTTTACAATGTCCAAACCCGCAATTAATCAAGGGTTACCTGATTGTGGACATCAAGACGGGTTGAGAGTTCCAGCAAAATGACCGTCCATAAAAGAGAGGCCTAGCTAACGCCAAGCGGTCCCTTGGCCGTCAAGTCCAGTCCCCATGAAAGGCTTCAGGTCCTCCAGCAGAGAGGTTAGAATAAGGGTACCCGACTTTTTCTGTAGTCTATTTTAGTAGGGGAGCTCTCCCTCAAAAAAAGGGTAAAAGGTTCCCATTTTCCATCAAATGGAGTTCCATCGAAAGGCGACCTGCGAATCGGCCTCGGTCGGAGTAGGCGGAGGAGGTCTCGCTGGAAATCGATGGCTTCCAAGGCGCTTCAGCGTGCCAGCGGTCGTACATCTCCTTCAGCTTCCCACCCATGTGGCAAGTTGAAGCTCGTGAACTAAAAAGTTGCTACAAGCTGACTCCAACTTGAAAATCTACTTCGACCTTTCATTGATACCGAGCAGAACACACAGTTTGTGCCCGAGTCTTCAATTTCCGCCCGAGCAATGAACAAGTGCCCGATGTTTATATTTCAAATGAGCACTTGTCAAATGTGCCCTCTTGTTGCACACAAGTTCTGCGCGAGCAGGTCATATTAGGACCTGACAGCCCAACTGCTCGAATTCCAAAAAAGAGGACAAGCCAAGAAAAACAGGTGCGAACTCCAAAAACCAGCCGATTGACAGGGGAGACAGACATTTCAGGTACGTTGGAAGGTCCAGGTACCAATGAAAAACAACTCACTTCATAAGCGGATCGGGCGGAACGAATTGCGAAACGTCTTGTTTACCACTAATCTGATGTTCCCCAAACGTTCCAGGTTTTTGCCGGGGCTCGGGGCCATAATCGAAGCCCATAAGGTCCATGGGCGTCTTGTTGCCGTTGAACTCGTTGTAGTTGGCCTCAACAAGCCAATTCGCACTTGCCCAAAGGGCCTGGCACTTTTTGGGAAATGGACCAAAAGGGGAACATAGCAACTAAAAGCCATGCCTGGTCCAGAATGGACCATGCTTTTGGCATGGGGGCGGTGTGTTCTGTGCTGATTTTCCCCCCTTGGACGCGAAAATGCGTGGACTGGAGAATGATGGTGAACATGATGATGAACATGAGGATGGACAACAAAATGGCAAATGATGATGATGACGATAATGACAATGATCATGAAAATGATGATGAACATGATGATGAAAATGAAGATCAACATGATGATGGAAATGGACATGGACATGATGATGGAAATGACAATGACCACGATGATGGAAATGGTAATGAACATGATGATGGAAATTATGGTGATGAAGATGATGATGATGACGATGACGATGACCACGATGATGATAGATAGATAGATAGATAGATAGATAGATAGATAGATAGATAGATAGATAGATAGATAGATAGATAGATAGATAGATAGATAGATAGATAGATAGATAGATAGATAGATAGATAGATAGATAGATAGATAACGATGAACATGATGGTGTGTGTGTGTGTGTGTCTGTCTGTCTGTGTGTCTGTGTGTCTGTGCGTCTGTGTGTCTGTGTGTCTGTGTGTCTGTGTGTCTGTGTGTCTGTGTGTCTGTGTGTCTTTGTATCTGTGTGTCTGTGGGTCTGTGCGTCTGTGTGTCTGTGTGTCTGTGTGTCTGTGTGTCTGTGTGTCTTTTTGTCTGTGTGTCTGTGTGTGTGTGTGTCTGTGTCTGTCTGTCTGTCGGTCCGTCCGTCCGTCCGTCTGTCTCTGTCTGTCTCTGTCTGTCTCTCTCTCTCTCTCTCTCTCTCTCTCTCTCTGTCTCTCTGTCTGTTTCTGTTTCTCTGTCTGTCTGTCTGTCTGTCTGTCTGTGTGTCTGTGTGTCTGTGTGTCTGTGTGTCTGTGTGTCTGTGTGTCTGTGTGTCTGTGTGTCTGTGTGTCTGTGTGTCTGTGTGTCTGTGTGTCTGTGTGTCTGTGTGTCTGTGTGTCTGTGTGTCTGTGCGTCTGTGCGTCTGCGTGTCTGTGCGTCTGCGTGTCTGTGGGTCTGTGTGTCTGTGTGTCTGTGTGTGTGTCTGTGTCTGTCTGTCTGTCGGTCCGTCCGTCCGTCCGTCTCTGTCTGTCTCTCTGTCTCTCTCTCTGTCTGTCTCTCTGTCTGTCTCTGTTTCTCTGTCTGTCTCTCTCTGTCTCTCTCTGTCTGTCTGTCTGTCTGTCTGTCTGTCCGTCCGTCCGTCCGTCCGTCCGTCTCTGTCTGTCTCTGTCTGTCTCTGTCTGTCTCTGTCTGTCTCTCTGTCTCTCTCTCTGTCTGTCTCTCTGTCTGTCTCTGTTTCTCTGTCTGTCTCTCTCTCTCTCTCTGTCTGTCTATGTCTGTGTCTGTGTCTGTGTCTGTGTCTGTGTCTGTGTCTGTGTCTGTGTCTGTGTCTGTGTCTGTGTCTGTGTCTCTGTCTGTGTCTGTGTCTGTGTCTGTGTCTGTGTCTGTGTCTGTGTCTCTGTCTGTGTCTGTGTCTGTGTCTGTGTCTGTGTCTGTGTCTGTGTCTGTGTCTGTGTCTGTGCTTCTGTCTCTGTCTGTGTCTGTCTGTCTGGCTGTCTGGCTGTGTGTCTGTGTGTCTGTGTGTCTGTGTGTGTCTGCGTGTCTGTGTGTCTGTGTGTCTCTGTGTCTCTGTGTTTCTCTGTCGTTGTGTTTGTGTGTCTGTGTGTCTGTGGTTGATTCTGTATCTGTCCCCAGGGCTGAGCCTTACCTCTTTATAGGGGCGGCGGAACCAGGCCGGAGGCCATGAATAACAACTAAAAGATTAAAGTGTAACGGACAAATCATGGGGGATCGACTCATGCTTCGAGTCGTAAAGATCAAGCAAAAACGCATCCAAGCCTTTAAGCACTGAACTTTCATCAGCGAGTTGAGGGCAATCCGAAGTCTGCCCGTTTCTTTTCTCCCAAGGCTCGGAGACGAGGCGTCCCATGAGGGGGTCCAAGCGGTGGGCCAAGTCCTGCAATCGCCGGGCGTCGTCCACGACGTGGTCGGAGTGGCAAAGATTCCTCGGGCATTCCTTCAAACCACCACTTGGAGGGAGACTGACTCACCTCACCACCGTGGTTTCCCGTGTTAAAGCCCCCAAACCACCAACCAGACCACCAGCTAAGGATGGTGTTACAAGGGAACCTTCGAACACAGCAGGTAGAGCTGGCTTTGCAAAATCTGGGCAAGGATGGCTGCCTTTGAATCATTCTCAAACCGTCTGTTGACGCCGTAAATAGAACATCCAAAAGCCACTCACTTTAGAAGGGGTATTGTCTGCATCCGCTGGCAGTGGGGTTTTAACCCCTGGGGTGTGGGAAGACGGGCGCGCCCTTATGCTGGTAGTTGTCAACCTTGAAGGGGAACCCTCAAAAACATTTGGACAAAGGGCGCTGAAGGTCTGTGTTTTTGGCCGGTCGCTGCAAAAGACCCTGCCAAAAGGTAAAACAAATCCTCAAATCAACTGTCAGCTTCCTTTCATTCTGAGAGTGAGTTTGGCGGTCCTTTGTTGTTTGCCGCTTTTGTGGCATTTTGTGTTTGGCTAGTTCCACTTGCTCCTCTCAAGTCGTCCGCAGTTTCAGGCAAACCCTCATTGGTTCATTGGCGGTTTGGATTGATGGCTGGGGGATTTGAACCCCTCACCCCTGGAACGCCAAAAAGCCCTGAGATCTGACGCAAGTAAGCGGACTTGGTTGACCTTTGGACAACTCTGAAATTTGTCATGCAGAAGTTCCTCCATTGTAACCAGCTTGCTGAGGGTTAATTTCCCAACCCTTCAGAAGGGAAGATCCTTGAACAGCCATCGTTCTTTTGAAATACCAGCCGCTTCCCCAAGTGCTAAGAAGGATCCCCTAGACTATCACACCATGCACCGTCATCTGCAGTGGGACGCTCCAAGAAGGGAAGCGACTGCCGTCTGGCACAACAATCAAGGACCTGTTTTGAACATCAATACTTAGTTTGTTGGACATGACATGGAGTTTCAAGGTATGGAATTTGCTAGATATTCGGGGCCAAGGCTAGAGACCACTGTGCGCAACTTACAGTAACGGCAATAAGGGGAAGCATACCCTAACGGGGAGTCCAATTTGCAGGGAACCGCCCGGGATGGGTTTCATTTTGGCTGCGCATGGTGCCAAAATGAAAAGAGGGTGCCTCTCAAATTGCCCACGGCTTGAGTGAATACCCCCTTCAACTTGACCCCTTCAGAACCTCTTCAGGTGAAATCCCCCTCTAAGCCGTTCATCTAGAAACCGGGAAGTTTCCCTAGAAACCCCTCTCAAACCTTTGAAACTGCAACTCCGGAAAGAACCGGTCAAATTCCCTCAGAAACCAGTCTAAAAACCGTAGAAGCCGGCCAAACTCCCCTCTCAACCCCCCCTCTAAAAACCAGCCCAACTCCGGCAAAATCCCCCAAGAAACCGGCAAATGTCCTTGTCAACTTCCCTAGAAGTTTGCACCTTCGCTTGGGCCACTGCCATTCTGTGGCTCTCGCTCTCATTCTGGCCCTCGCGGCCATGTGGATACGTGCGGACATGCACCCATCTTCTACCTTGGAAACCAGCTCACGCATTTCTGCGCCGACCACTCACTCTAACACAATCACACACAACACTCAAGGCCAACTAAAATTCACAATAACCCTAGTTTCCCCTCTCACCGCTTTGTGGGGTTGATAACCATTTAGCTAACCCTGACTGAATGGGCCCTCAAACAGTCCAACCCAGTGAGTCAATG